TTCCTTTTAGCAACGCAATAGTTGAAAGAGCATTTTCTCTGGTGGCTTTGCTAAAATCCAAACTAAGAAATCGAATGGGACAATCGCTACTAGAGAATCTCTTGAACGTGAAATCATATATGGCAACGCAAAAAATTTGCTGCAAGAATTTCACTCCTTGGCCTCAAATGATATCTAGGTTTACTTCAGAAATGTATGAAAGTACAGAAGACGCAAACGATGCGATATACGATATCAATGTGTAGTTTGGTTTAAATTAAATATTTTCAACAGACTTGGGCTAGTTTTACTTGTTTTGATGCAAATTTGGGCTATTTCTTGCAAAATATAATTGGGCTATTTATGAGCTACTTTTAAAGGTAGCTCGGGCGGGTTTGCAGGGTACCCATCTAGCAACACTGATACCCATTTCCACTCCACTAAAACTCTGCTAAATTTTTTCTTTCTGTGTTACCGTTCTTTCAAGGTACTTAAACCATAATCTATTCCTTTATTCAACACAATAAGGTGTTTGCTTGTGAAAACTTGTTATGGTGCTTTTTGTTCAATTGACTTATGTTAGCTTAATATTATAGCATATATTGCAAGTCTGTATATCTAAATTTTTCTTGTCATTGTTATTTAACCATACAGAAAATAAACGTGCATAAATCTGAGTGTTTTCAATATAATAAATGTAAATTTTATAATAGTCTAATAAACCATGTTTTGACTATGTCCAGAGTTCAGAGCTGCTTAAGTAAAGCGTTTAATATTTTTCTTGGCTAGAGCCAATGCTTATGGAGATGACTTTGTATGTATTAATTTCAGTGATGGTATCTGCAGGTAGTCTCTAAAGTCTTCATGATGGTAACACATAACCATGAGCAATAACCAGCTCAAAGCCTGGGTGGGCTGTACTTTCACTTACTACTAAGTACCAACATGAAGGTAAAACCTTGAATGTAGCCAACATGAGCAATTTTTGTATGATGAATGTATGAATGGTGAAGGGTAAGGACGTACAACAAATGAAAACCAATTAATCAAGGTTCTTTGTTGATTTCACAAAATATCCGTTGAAAGTCATTTTCACAAGTATCAGACTAAATTCCTTGTGTTGGATGCAGGGGCGGATCCAGCTTCGTATATGAACTTAGTCACAATGTCGCACCGTTAGCGCGAATTTTCTAGGGGGGTCCAGGAACATGCCCCCCCCCCGGTAAAATTTTAAAATTGTATTGCAAAAAACGCTATTTCCTGCGTTTTTGCAGTTGGTCTTCTAAAATATTTATTACTGGAATGAGCTAACATTCTTGCTCATAAATTATCGATTTTTGACCGTTTCGCTCAATATCAGAGCTCATCAGCATGCCTAGGAAACTCGCAAAAAAATATGCTTTGAGGGCTTCCGACATGGACGGCCTGGTTCATTACAAACTTAGCCTAAAAAAATTCTTTACGCTTCATCAATATGGAATTTCATTTTATAATGGTCTAGTCATACCTATATGCTGATTATTATGCAAACGATTTTGTCAATTTATCAAATGAAGTTGTCAATAAAAAATAAGCAAAAAAATGTTTGTAGATTTCGATCGTCCAGGTAAGTAAAGTCATGAGAACTATTGTTTGTGTTTATATTGACTGAGGTTAGCGGCAGTCATCTTTACAGTCAAGAGTTTAAAAAAGGCATGAAGAACTTTCACTCCGAACTAGAAAGCTAGTTCAATTCTTCTTTTATTTTTTGCAAAAAGATCTATAATTTTTTCTATATCTAGATTAATGTCCTGATGAATATACAATAAAGCAAGACCATTTAACCTGTCAGCAGCCATAGTACTTCTTGTATAGTTCTTTAGTCTTCGCAAAGCAGAGAACGACCTCTCACACTCACAAGAAGTGACTGGAATAGTACCTAAGATCTTTAACAATACTTTTATGTTCTCAAAACCTGGAAAATTTACCGACTTTAAAGTAGAAGAGACATTTTCAGGAAGACAAGTTCTAGAAGACGATTCCCAGTATTTCTGCCAGAGATCAAGTTCACCATCTAAAGCCTTTGGATTTGGAAGATCATCCAAGAACAAAGAAGAAAATGAATAAAATTTTTCCTTCCAAGAAACGCCACAAGAAAGACACAAAAGTAACTTGGATGGAATTAAAACAAGCCATAATATATGCTAGTTGCTGATGAATCAAACCGTTTTTCTAACTCAGAACACAAGTGATCAGCTAAAGGAATGGTTATTGTTTTCTTAAAGTAATCAGATACAGATTCAGACGGAACATTACTTCTAATTGCCTGACGACCACAAGTTCTAGGTTTTTTCTCTTCAACACCCACCTTTTCTGCCATCGTCAATGCAATACTGTACCAGTTAGCATGATAAACATCGACTTCATTTCTTACAGTTCTCGACATTATTTTTAATGCCTCAATCAAGTTCAAACCGTCAGCAATATCATTACTAGAAGACTGAAGTAACTGAGTAACTGGAAGAGTAAGATCAAAAATACATCTAGTTATTACGAGTGCTGCAATAAAATCAAAAGATGTCAAAAGATGTAACAGAGGGGAAGCTTTACTAGAGGTCTCACGATTACACTTGCCTTCGACGTTAAAACTCATTTCTTCCAAGGAAAAAACAATAGCAACATACAGTTCTTCAAAAGTATCTAAGCTAGTAATACGCTCGACCCATCTTGTCTTACAAGCACTTTTCAATCTCTTTTTTGCAGAATCTGGACAGCGTTCTCCAATGCATTTCTCCAAAATTAGTTGTCTGCATTGGGAAGAGTTGAAAAAGTTAGCAACTTCCTTCACATGTTCCAAAACATTTCTTACATACTGAACAGCACAAGTCCCACAAATACTAAGATTTAATCTGTGACTGAAACAATGTGTGTAAATGGCTTTCTCATTCAAATTCTTAATCCTTGCAGCAAGACCATTAATGCATCCAGCAACAGCACCTGCGCCATCATACCCCTGCCCACGACAGTCCTGAATGTTCAAATTCAACTCTTCGTTTAAACATTTCAAAATCACAGATGCAAGGTCCTTCCCAGACATACCCTCACTACAATGAATGAAACGAAAAAATTCTTCTCTTATGTTGAACTCCTCGTCAACAAAACGCAAAACCAAAGACATCTGTTCTTTATTAGAAATATCACATGTTTCGTCTGCAATCAATGCATAAAACTTGCTCTTCTTTACTTCAACTAGAAGCTGTTCAGTGATGAATTGACCACAACACCTAATTAACTCATTCTGAGTAGTTTTAGAGATGTAGGAGGCATTTTTATCATGATGCTTAAGATGGGATTCCAAAATGGTGTCCCCTGCACGAACACGGAAGTTTAATAATTCAATAAAATTACCAACATGCTTTTCAGAATATTCACCAACTTCAGGATGATACTGAGAATCATCCCGATGACCTCTAAGTGGTAATTGAAGGCGACCTGCAAGAATGATGGTATCAACTACTGGAACTAATTTTTCCTATTCTCTGAAATCTTTTTCTTTAAGTTACTGTCAATCATGACGTTTATTAGCTGGCTTTTACCGGAACTCTGATCCAAGATTTCCTTAAGAAGAGCCGAAGTGTGATCATGAAGACCTGATGATGTACTTATAAGCCTTTTTATTGCACTTTTAGCATCAGGCCAATGTGTTAATGGCTCTAAAAAAAAATGTTTTGATTCGCCTGTTTTTGGAGGGGAAACCTATCACCAAACAAAACATATGGTAAGCAAAAACCACCATTAAGACTTGGAGAATGAAAAAGCCAAAGATAATGCTTCAGCCAATCATGTCGAAAGGACCTACTGCGACCATTTGCATCAATAGTTTTAGGAAATTCATAGCATTCATCAGGTATGAATACATTCTTCACAAGTTTTTCAATTTCATGAATTTCCATACCTCTCACCTTTTCTCTATAGAAACCAACATCATATGGATTTCTAGGCAAATCAGCATTTGCAGTTTTATTATCTGGTAATTGCAAGGTAGAAGATGAAATAAAAGAAGCATCACAAGAACCCAAAGCGCTACTGTGAGATATACCATATGGATGAGCCTTAGTTGTCATGGTTGTCTCAGTAGGACCAGAAGGTGTAAACCTCAACTTTGTTTGTATACTGGGCTTTTTAGCTTGTGACAAGTGACTACTTCCCTTTCTTTTAGTTCCCTTCCCACCAAGTATCAAAGGCACATAGTGATTGTGTTTGAATGCAGTTGCTTGAGGAGCTGAACCTTCAAAGCAAAACAAAACTTGCAAATAATTACTAGTGGAAGCACAAGCTCTAGATCGAATTCGAGGTTCAATTCTTTGGTTAAATAATAAATTCCACCTATAAGCACTAGAGTATATGTCAGGATAATAAGAAAAAATGCTACAGGATGTAACTGAAGAGAGTGCCAACAAACAAACAAACCCAGTCCATGCCATATCTTTTGCATTTAACACAGCTTCTGCCCTGACCAGTTCAGCAACAGAACAACCACTTCCAGCACTATCAATAGCTTCAAAAGAGACTGACATGGCCACCATGCTTGAGATGGAATCAAAGTGTTTGTTATGCTGAGTTTCAAAAAGATTTGAAAAACATGGATGTTTCGCATAATAATCAGCATATAAAAATAATTCTATAGAGGTCATGAGCCTCAAAATAGTCACCACAGAGTTGTCACCAACAAGCAGAATTGACAATGAACTATAGAGGCAGTTGCCATTTGTAGCAGATCTGAAATAATGTTATGTAAATTTCAAATATTATGCTTCAGTTCATTTTTGTATATCTTATCTTAAGTATACTATTAAACACATCAAGAAATAAATCAATAGAAACGTTTTAAATATGATCGAAATTCGAAAATTTGTTTTGTTTTGAATCACATAAATAAACCACAAATGACAAATCCATCGGGCATTACATCAAGTCAATTTATATTTGCTTATATATTCTTGTGTAAGCATGCATGCATAACATGTCATAAGTTTTCTAACCTTAAGGCAACCAAATTTGTGTTCTTTGTCTTGGCACTCTGTGGTATGTAAAATTCGGCATTGATATTTCGGAAAATATCAACACCGAGACGATCCAACAAATGATCGTTGGTAACAATGCTGTTGACTTTCAGGCAATCCAACATCTCTCCGTAGAGTTGAGCCATAAAAGTCCCATCTTTCCTCGTAAAAGCATCTTCGACTCGATCTGTGAAAGATGCCATGCTTCTCATTAAAATCGTTGCTTTTGAAGCTCAAAGATAAAACCTCAGTTATCAACAATCTCAATCTGTGCTGAATTTCGCACAACACCGCTAGAACATTTCAGCAAAAACGGCGGCTCGTTAGTCAGCACAACGGCAATAAACCAATCAAGAGACAGATTTTAGTCTCCAAATTCAGCACAATTTAAGGCGTGCTGACTCTGTGCGGGTTAGCTATGGGTATTTCTCCCGCAAGTGAAATATAATTTATTTTAGCCACTTGATCCCTTAATCCCAATCTTAATCCATGTCTTGGAAACAATAACATTGCTCAGTGAATTCACGTTGTTGCACAATTTTCTCATAATACTACCCCTAACCCTGACAATATGTTTATTTTTCTAATGCTTTCGTTGTGAGGACAGAAAAAATTTAATTAATTTTCGGATAAAGAATTCATGATCATTATTCATACAACGAAACAAACTACACCATACCGAGACGAGACTCGAACCTGCAAAAGACGAATAGAAAAATGCTCTTCGTCCTTTCGACAAAACGGACTTTGTTCAACACGCGGCAAATTGTTTTTATTTTGAACTAGGGGCATTTAAAATTTGATTAATTTTTTCCGCTGCTGTGAAGAATTGAACTACGTCGCGTGCTGAATGTGACGTAGTTTCAATCCGCCCCTGGTTGGATGGCCCATATTTCTTCGACCAATTTAAAAAGTCATTTATGGTCATCAAAAAATAATCAAACTGAACTGGTATAAAATAAAATGTACAAAACAATAAAGATAAAATTTAGTAAAATAATACGTGTTAATGTCTACGACCATACCACAAGGAAATCACCGGTTCTCGCCTGGTCACCGAAGTTAAGCCTTGTCGGGCGAAGTTAGTACTTGGATGGGTGACCGCCTGGGAATACTTCGTGTTGTACACTTTTTACATTTTGATGATATAATCGAAAATTCTAACATAATAATATCATTATTTCCTTTCTAATTGAAAAGCCTTGCGTGCTAAATACATGGTGGGTTAGGTTTAAATTTTGCCTCTATCGTATTCGACAAAAACATAAATCAACTTGGTCAAAAAAACGCAATACAGATTCAATGTTCCGCACATTAAAGGCAATACAAGCATCCACAATATTCTACATAAATACAAGTGCAGGATGCATAGTTGGTAACTTTTATTCAATGTTTGTTGTGGGAAATATGAAAAATTACAGTAGAAACTATTGAATGTCACACATCTCACAAAAAATTATTTATTAGTGTTATATTTTTGATTTAACATTCGTGAATGTCGTCTAATTAAATCCCCATCAGTACTTTTGCGGTATGAATCTTCTAGTTTGGACCTCTGTTCGTTGCCTTCGCAAATGTGTTTTCGCTGTTCACACAAGAACATAAATCCGTGCGGAGTAGGTCAGCTTTTCCACATGAACATCGCATGCTTAAACGCTTGAACACCCGTCTTACGATGACAGTCTACGCAATCAAGACGGGAGTCTGGAGCGAGGATGAGCAGGTTGAGCAGTTGGCGTTTTCCGTGCTTTGACCTTCCCTTTGACCTTAAAAAGAGCTCGTACAGTCACTTCTTAAATGCAAAGCAAACGTCAATGCTTTAGTATTAGGTACTCTGATATTTTAAAACTTAGTAGAAAAATACGCAATGATTAGAATGAGCCATTTCTCTAACTACTCCCATCAAAATACTCACATTGGAATGCTAACCTGAAAACGCGTGAAAGCCTGGCAAGCAGCGACAAAATTCTTCGTTCGTGGCGACAGTAACTGAATTAATATGTACTGTGCGAATTAATAAAAAATAAGTCCTTTGAACCCAGGTTTTTTTTTGCATTGCCACACAAAGCATGAAGACATCTGTATCTGGACTCCTAATAATAACAGCAACGTTAGTGGTCATTGCATGCTTGGCGTGTAAAAGCATACGGGTGTCGGCTTCTTCATGATTGCTTTCTAGCGCACTGCATTCACAGCATAAAACAGGGTCTTTACCAAAAGCCCCACAGGAAAGTACATAGCATTTTCTTTTGTAGTAACATATGAATTTTCAACTTGCGTCAGTTGAAACTATTTATACTCTTTCCAATGTTCGCACAAAGAAATCATAAGCGACTCCTTGTGTTCTCCACAACTTTTTTCACTACTTTGGAACGGGCTCATCTTTACTAAAAATTCGAACTCGTTGAACTCCTTTCTCGGTCCACTCCTTCTCTTTCTTTGAGCGTTTTCGATACTCAATTTTGGGTAGCGATCTGTGACGAGCTTGATCTTAAATAATAAAATAGAGATTTTGTCGTGGTGACAAATCTAAAAATAGTTTTAAAGATTGCAAATACCAAGTTGAATGGCAAAAGTCGTTGCGAAATAAGAAAAAGGTGTTATCAACGTCCGCTTTCCACGGAGCGAATGTTTCCCCAAGCTTCACCAATTTATTCAGGTCACGAACCTGATTTTCAGATTTGTCACCACGCCAAAGTCTCCATTTTATTATTTAAGAAAGCGCTATAGTACAAACTGTTTGAGTTTTATATCATCAATGAGCATGAAAGATTGAGAAGCTTTGACGTAAAATCGGGGATGATTATTATTACTACCGATTGGTACCAGAAAATTTAGAGTTCTTGTTTTGACTTCCTGTAGAGATTTGTTATAGCCAATATATCCCTGCATTGATTTTTTGAAATCAAATTTCTTTTAAAAGAAGTTGTTAGGGAAAAATGAATATATGAATTAACACCATCCCGGTTCTGATTACGGCCCTAACAATAGTCTATTATTCACAACAAATTAATCGCAACAACTTTGCGTGTGGTTGAATGAGCTAGGTAAATCATCCCCAATAATAGAATTCAATGGTAAAGGCGATGATCATACCAACAGATCTCTGACAAAAGCATCAGTGTTGGCTTTAAAGATAATGGTAAACAGTGGCAATGACGCCAAAAGGAGACGCCAAACGACCTGTTTTGTTGAAATGACTGCTTAGCAGAATAAAGTACCCTACTACATACAGTTATATTGTATGGAAATTTTTTAAAAACAAAACTGGAACTTCAAATTTTCTTTTAAAATTCCAAAATTTTATTTTTAAATTTTAATGTTTTATTGCTCGTTTAAAAATAGATTTGAATTGCATACATGTAGCTATTGATGTTTTCTGCTTTTAATAAAATTCCACGTAGTTTTCTATTCATATGTTTAGTCAACGCTTGAGACCGAAATTTTATCGATGTTTACAAAATGAATCGTCAAGTCTTGGGAAAAAATGAATTGTCTAATTTGAGCTTTATCTATGTCTATATCTGTCCAATAAATTATCTTATTCATTTTGTAAGTCTATGGCTACGCCCTTTATGTCGGGCAAAATAGTCTGTCACCCCGCAAAGATTATTCTCAAGTTTCAGACCTATCTGTAATGAACGTACAAACGAACTATGAAATACTTTTGATTGGTATGAAGTTCAATCGAACATGAATATTTATTTGATTGAGCTATGAATGAAACGTTCCACCTCAGCATTCATAAATGGCAACCATATAGTTCTTTCATAGATAGTTAAAAGATTTCTCCGTGGGAACCAATAAACTTCGTAACCACAATCAGTTCAAATCGATGTTATTAATTGTTAGTTTTATCTTTATTGTTATGATAAAGCTTGCTAAATGCCAAAATAAATTCAAGCAAAGCCGTAGAACTGATTGATCATTCCCGCATTCCATTTGTCACAGCTTATTTCTCAGAAGTAAATATTCCCAGTGAATGCAGTATTTTAAATAATGTTAATATGCACTTAAAACTATATATGTTATATTCATATAAGGTTCACTTAGACTACGTTTACTAGAAAAAAAAAGGAACAATTAACTCATTAAATATATATATAAAGACTTATTATTTGCCATTTTTTGCTGATTTTTGCCAATAGGGTATGATTCAAATAAGCGCGTTTCGACATTTTGGTTTTCTATTGTTACATTTTAGGTGTTTTATTTAAAAAGTCAACTAGTGTCAAGGAAAAGAGTTTGGTCTTTGGATGCATTGAAAAGCTCGTTTTGGACTTGTAAGTTCCTTTTCATTGAATTGCAGTGTCGTAAAGAAAGTTACCCTTCTCGGAATATGTTTTGTTAACAAAATGATAGCCATGCTTAAAAACTTCCACTCAAAGCTTCCACTTGAAAAATGAAAACCATGTCTATAGATGTCTATACATCCGGAGAGGTCTAAAAGCAATATTGATTGTGTGCTATACACAACAGTAATAAATGAAAGATCTTTATTCTATCGGCACTCATTTTACTACAAACAGTCACATCTGACAAATGTCCTTATACATACATAATCTAATAAATACGACAAAATGCGCTTTATCAATAATGCTTTCACGCAGTTACATATATAATCCATATTTCTAGGCAATATATTGGCTATAGTATATATACTCGGAGATAATACTAAAGACGAAATACTTACTATTACCAGAAACTCTTGGATTGAAACGGTGTAAATGCGTCCATATAATACCGAATACGAGTACCATGTTATCACTGTAAAAAATGATTGGCTAACATAACCATATGATTGGTTAAAGTGGTTAAATGCATCTGAGTAACCAATTTTTATGGTTATTTTAACCAATTAGTTTTACAGTGATTATATTTTGCTCAAGTTTTCAAGGAATCTGGTTACTAAAACAATGACCACCACACACGTGACTTTTTTGCACTCAAAAGTGAAAGCTCTTTTGGTTGCGTTTCTGTGGAAATAGAATCGAAAAAGATTTTATGCCTGTCAGCATTGGGTTCAGGAATTTAGAGCAGGATTGGTAAAGCCAAAATGAGAAAGTCTGCCTCTGTATAAACTCTCGAAATGTGAAATTTGAAAAGCCGGAAGCTATAAAGCCCAAGTTTATAACAGCTTCTTGAGATAGAATGTTATATGCAGTGCGGTGTTTGAAATTAAATCAAAATATGATCTTCGCACTTTTTTTTATTTTATTTTCTTGAGAGCTACACATTTTCCGGAATGTGGATCAAC